TGCAGTGCCACTGAGCTAAATCCCTGGCCCTAAAATCTTTATTGGCAATTTTAATTACTTGTTTTTTTTTTGGCACCGGGGATTGAACTCAGGTCCTTGCGCTTGCAAGGCAGGCCACCGAACCACTGAGCTAAATCCCTGGCCCCTTTAATTACTTGTTTATTCAAACTGCCTATGTCTTTGTGGTCATGAATGATTGCCTATAATAGATGTGTTGAGTTTTTCATAGTTGTGAATTTCACACATCTTAGTTTTACACAGAGAGGAGTCACAGACAATATTTTCACCAAATGACAGTTTTGTTTAAGGCTCAAAGTCTTACTTAGGGAAATGTGTTAATGTATTTATTAACAGAAGGGATGGATACATTTGTTAACGTTTCCTCCATTGTCATCGTTCATTCATCTAAAAACATTTCCTTCCTAAGTTGTAAGTATCATATAAAAAGAATTGTATAATGTTCAGAATCTGGAATTTGTCCACCATTGGGTCTGGGGCAAATTACTTACTCTGCAAATCTCAGTGTCTCTGTCTCTGCCTTTTTCTCTGTCTCTCAATTCTCTCTCTCTGGTGATTGAACCCAGGGAACTACATTCTCCAGATCTTTTAAAATTTTGTTTAGTTGGGATTAAAATTTTTTTAGTTAGGATTATAGGTGTGTACCACTATGCCTGGCCTCTCTTTCTTTATATGTAAAAAACCAAGCATTTAGGGCTGGGGATTTAGCTCAGTGGTTCTACCACCTGCCTTGCAAGTGCAAGGACCGGAGTTCAATCCCTGGTATTGCCCCCCCAAATAAAGAAAGAAAAGAAAAACGAAATAGAGGAAAAAACAACCATTTGTGGTAATTGTGACCATCAAATATATGTATATTGATGTGTTATAAGACTTGGCTCAGTTTTGCTGTTATTGCCATTATATTAGATACTTGGATAGATTGCAGTTTATAGGGGAAGTATCTGCCATAACTGTCAAAATAGTGCAGGACTGAGAAGGCCAGGTAGAAGTTCAAAAATCAGGCAGCATGGCAGAGATATGCAGAAAGCACTGTGCTGCAATTCTTGGCTTCTCCTGGGCAGAGTAGATGACAGGCCAGAAGCAGTGGGAGCTGTTCAGCTACTCAAACAGCTTGTAGTCTTGCCCCACACAGGCACCGCATGGTGTTGATCCTTGCCCTAGTTAGTCCCAGTTCTTCCAGCTGACCCACTTACTATTCATCTTCCATTCATATCAGAACAGGGTGAAATAGGGAGAATCGAATCATAAATATTAGTGTTGCTTAGAGCTAAAGCTCTGTTTTTCACCTGGACCACTTTCAAAGACAAATAGTGATAAGTGTGGCAAACATAGCTTGTGAAGAAAAAAAATGATGTTATTTAGTCCTACAGGAATTTTGTGCTTTTTCCAAGCATGAGAAGCAGACTATATGTGAACGAGTACAATTTTTGGAACATCTCAGTAGCTGTGTAGGGACAACAGAATAGAGAACTTTGAAATTATAATATCTACATTTAAATGAATTAAACCTAAATACCATTAAAATTTTAGTTTCATGGTTGCATTAATCACATTTGAAATGTTCAATAGCCACGTGTCAGGAGCAATTCTACATAATTTTGGGTAAAAGTAAATTTCACAATTAAATCATGATTAGGGCTTAGTTTTCCTGCCTACGGGCCATCTTTGGCATGTCCAGATATAACTTCATTTTTGCCTCTGGTCACAGGTAAAACCTCAATGGTCAGGTGATGCTGTGAAGCTCCAGGGCATGATTGTATCAGCTGGAGATATCCTGGGAGAAACCAAATCTTCATCTGCACAGTTCCTCATTGTTCTAGGATTATCACAGCAGCCCTCTGAGTCACCTGCTACATTTATTTGTCCTTCTGTACCAAATAAAGGTGTGGCAAGGTTGGGTTTTTCGTCTTTGCTGCCCTGAGCAGCGTTGATCAGGCCCAAAGCTCAGCTTCTTCTCTAAGTCTCATTTCTGTTTATATATTAATTTACCTTGTGCTGTTGCCGCTCACAGGAGACTAGTACTTAATGCAGAGGTTCTAGTAATTTCCCCTTTCCCTGTTCTCTACACACATGTAGCTAGCCTCCGTGTTAGGTAGCGTAGATAGAGACTGTTTCCATCTTCATAAAAAGTTCTAACAGACATTATTCCTCTGGTATATGTGATTGGTATAGTCATAGACTTTGCAGATATAATGTATACTCTGGGCATATGCCCTTATAAAAAATCTTTTTATCAGGTTACCACAATTCTTTCTTCACTTCTCCATCATGCTGTGAAGGCTAAAGGGCACGGGGCCAGTCTGCAGAGGCCTTTGGTTCAGATCTTAGCTCCCCTATAGATCTGCTGAGTGATTGTGAGCAACTCTCCTAGCTTTGATTCCTTCATAAGAATTAGAGGCATTGGACTGAAATGAGATCTTTATTTTGCAGCTTTAAAATTTAGTTATTGAGTAAGTCTTTCCTCAAAAGCACGACCTAATAGAGCCTACTTTGATCAAAGACTTGTTTGAGAAACAGTGATCTCTACATAGATAGGGCAGTGTTAGGTGAAAAGAGCCAAAAATCAGGACTAGACCAGGATAATAACAAGCCTTTATTGTGGGGACGATCTACCAGGTTGTCTCTGAACAAAAGAGGAAAAAGCAACATGGTAGAACAGGGAGCTTCTTTTAAAGGAGCAGGGTGAGGTCAGTCTGAGCTGGGGTGGAGTTGAGTGAGGTAGTATTAAGAGATTGGAGGAGCCTGTGACATCACTAGAAGGGGTTTGTGACACCCCTAGCTGCTTAGGAGGTAGCAAGTTTCAGGTTACTCTTTTGGCGGGAGAAGAGGCATGATGGGAAGAAGAAGCCTGTCCTTAGTTGGGAGAAGCCATATTTTAACATAGAGGCTGCTATTCCATGTGGCAGCCATCTTAAGGCAAGGGAAATCTTAACAATCAGTACTCCTGTCTCTCCTTTTTTGTACTGGGGATCGAACTTAGGTCCTGGAGCTTGCAAGGCAGATGGCAGAACGGCTGAGCTAAATCCCCAGCCCTTAAATTTTTATTTTTTTTACTGGGGATTAAACTGAGGTCCTTGTGCACGCAAGGCAGGCAGTGGAAAGTAGGGCTTTTTCTGATGTCTAAGTATTTTCTGCTTTGTGTCTGAAGCATCATGGGCTCTCAATCAATCAGGATCCTCTACCCAGGGACCCACCCACTGTACGCTTGGCTTTGTGTCATCATGCACACAGATTTGTTGCATGCAATTTTGTTTTGGGCAATTGAAAATTAAAAAAAATTTTTTTGTTATGGTACCAAGGATTGAACCCAGGGCTCTGCACATACTAGACAAGTGCTCTACTGCTGAGCTACCACCCCAGCCAGGAAGTTTTGTACCTTGCATTGGGCTTTGTTGCATTAGCATTCTACATTAGTAACTCTCCTGATGGAAGTATACCATGAACTGAAGTAATGGCCAATAGAGCTCTTGGCAATTAAGGTCCCCACCTAGATTATGAAGGACAGTGGGTGTCTGACCTGTGGACTGCTCAGGTTCACTTTGATCTGGTGTCATAGCTTTTCTGTCATGTTAGCTAGAATTGAACCCACAGCATTTAACCAGCAGCAGCTGCTCAATACCTATGCTGTCTGTCACTCTGCTACCTGCCTGTTGTGGTCAGAGGTAGGTGTATATTTTTTCACAAGCAATTTTTATGTTTAGCAGCTTCAGACATTCAGAAAAGAGAATGCTAGGGCTGGGGATTTAGGTCAGTGGTTCTGCTGCCTGCCTCACAAGCACAAGGTCCAAAGAAAGAAAGAAAGAGAGAGAGAGGGAGAGAGAGAGAGAGAGAGAGAGAGAGAGAGAGAGAGAGAGAGAGACAGAAAGAGAGAGAGAGAAAGGAGAGTGCTAGTCCAGGAGCTTCAGATAAGGATTTTCCCTTTTTCTGGCGATCCAAGGAGGAGGTTATTAGGTTAAATAAGAACCATAATTGGCTTTTCTTGCTAGGGTACTAATGATGGTGTTGGGGAGGGGCTTGAGGAGGGAATTTGGGCCTTTGGAACAATCATTTGGAGTCATTTATCATTTGTAGTCCTAGCTTCTTGAACTTCCTGTCAATGACCAGCTGTGTCCTTGGGCAAGGGCCTGACCTTCTGTGAGCCTTGGCAATCTGTAAACCTCTTCCTCTCCACTGGGATAAGAACGTAGAATGTTATATGGGCATTCTTTAAGCTTCCAGTTGTCCTATAACAATAAGTTTGCACTGAACATGTAAATGGTTAGTAGTCTTAAAAATAGAGTTGTTACTTGAATAACTAGAAAGGGACTAGCTCTCTAGCCTATTAAATACATCCCAAGAGCACCAGTAACTTTAGGTCTTTCATTTTTCCTTCTCCCTTTGTGCTTCCTCTTCTTTAGCCTTGTCACTGTACAGGCCCCACATTGAAAAAGGTTGCTGTATTCTGTTGAGGGGGGGGTGTCTTTCCCACCCACCTTATGGTAGGGTGCTTATGACCTTAAATCAGCAGTGTGTGTGCATTTGGCTGTGTATACAATATGCCCTCTAGCCAGCACTCCCTTCTGCAAGCCTCTGTGTGTTTGTGATTGCAAGCATCTGCACAAGCTGGCATGCTTGCTTGTGTGTCTGTGTACGTGCACGTGTATGAATGCATGCACTGAGTACACACGTTCTTGCGTGCCAGCCTGCAAGCCTGGTGTGTGTAGACTGCTTGTGAATCTATGGGTGTGTGTTTGTGAATGCACACTGTGCACATATATACCAGCACGCCCGCCTGCAAGCCTGGTGTGGTGTGTGTGTGTGTGTGTGTGTGTGTGTGTGTGTGTGCGCGCGCGCGCGTGCCGCCCCCCCCCCTGTGCAGTGTGTGTGTGTGTGTGTGTGTGTGCGCGCGCGCGCGTGCAGCCCACCCTCCTGTGCGCTCACCCGTGGGCTCTCCTGCACACATGCAGGGCCTGGGGCCGCCAGCCAGCGCCACTCCATTCTGTGCGCGCCCAGCTGTTTCTATAGGAACCAGGTCTGCGCTGGGGGCCCCTGCGGCTTGGGTCCACGTGTGAGCATGCCCAGTGCAAGCCGCTAGTTTGTCTTGGTCTAGGTTTCCAGTAAGTGGCCTGCGGGACTCGGGAGAGATCCCAATGAGCTGAGCCGAGAGCCTTTTGTGTGCAGAGGGCGGAGGAGGAGGCGGCGGCTGCCTGACTGCAGACCCCGCCCGGGGAGCTCCGGCAGGAACAATGCTTGCCTGCCTGACCCGCGGGAACTTACTGGACGTCCTGCAGGAGGGCTTCAATGAGGTAACGGTCCTGCTCCTCCCACTCCCCAATCCCTGACACCCTCCCGCCGCGCCTCCCGCCTATTCTCCTGAAGGGTCCTTCTCGTCCCTCATCCTCTCAGAGGTCCCTGAATATATCACCGGAGGAGCCCCGGGGTGGCTAAAGTAGCGGGTGCAGGCAGACCAGCGTACGTGGAAAGATCACAAGGGCTGCCGGCCTACCTCTAAGCTGGGCGATGACCTCACCTGGTAGCTTACCTGAGCCCAGAGGACAGGACCACAAATTCAGCAGTCACTTCCTTACGGAAGAGGTGGTTTCCACACTCCCCTGGGATTCTCCCCAGGAGCACCCTCCAGAAAGTCTTTCTACATAAGTAGAAAGTTTGGAGAGGGTAGAAGACTGTGGGGGTTCCACATGAAGGGCCCTTTCCACTTGTGAATCCTCTGTATCCGGGGCAGATTTCTCCACAATCAAGGACATGGTTGGCTGAGAGGAGTCACCAGGTGAGAGAGGGCCTGGTTCTGGGACCAGTTCAGGAGAGCCAGCATTTGCTTCTTTCTATGAGACCTGGAGTTGGGGGGCCTTGGCCTGACAGGTAGGATGGCTCTCCTCACATATTTTCTCTCATTTCTATTTCCTCTTCCATTTGGTTGTCATCTGACTCTGGCAATTCTGCGTTGAGGCCTTTCCTCACATTTTCCATTGCTTCTGAGCCCCAACTTTGGATTGGCTTAGCCCAGCATCCAGGGAGACCTAGGATTTAATTGTGCATTCCTATTTCTCTTTCTTCTTTTCCTTCTGTGTCTTTTTTCTCCCTCTGACTTTCTTGAATTTGTTAAACAACACAAGCAACAGTGTTTAGTCAAATAACATGAATACATCTCTTCTTTTTTTGATGCTGGGGATTGAACTCAGCACCTCACACATGCTAATTCATGAACTGCACTTCCAAGCCCCATTCTCTTCTAATAGGTAAGATGAAAGTGCCTTTGTCTCTCCCCACCAGCCCGCCCCAGCCTTTCCCCTGAGGTAACCATTCTTCTGAATGTATGTATAAGATTTCCTACAGCTGCACTACAGGCCTTTTCCTTGATTCCTGTTTCTAATTAAGCAGCCCCGGCAGCCTGACCTGCCTCAGAACCTTTCCTAGTCCCTGGCTCCTATGTCCCCCAGTTGTTACTGACACAGAAAGACTGCAGAAATGCAGTCCCAGCCTAACAAACTGGGTTGGAATTTTCCTTTGGAGGACAGGTGTCACAACCTTCACTGAAGGGCAGAACTTGCCTCCTGCCTGCACTGCGGGGGGCTTCACATCTTTGCATCATTCCTGTCTGAACATATATAAGGGTATTGTTAACAAAGAGCTACAGGCTGAAAGCTGAAACACAGAGGAACCAGGAAGCCTACCTCTTTGAGTGTTTCCAGTATTCCTGATTCCTCTTTTCTCACTTTTTGGCTTTAAACTGCTCCTGGTCTTTAGATACATAAGTCTTACTTATCCACCCATTATTGCAGAAACTCCATGGGCCCTCTTATGGCCTCTCCTCATTCTTATTTTAACCCAGTTCCCATATATGAGGACTCACTGTCGGATTAGGAGGAAACCAGCACAGAGCCAGTCCTGTCTTTGCTTTCTGCTTGTTTTCCCTTCTAAATCTTTGAATTGAAGAGCCATATAAACCATGAGATGTGGCTGTTTTTTCATGCTTCAAGGCTTCCATGAATGAATACCTCTGCCCTCCTTTCTTGCAAAAGTAGGGAAAGAGGGAGTGGGAGAGTTCTTTTTGTAATGATGGTAATGGAGTTTCATAAAGACAGTAAATATACAACTTTATAATTAATCTATATCTAGAATAATGCAGTAATCCTTTTCTCTCTCTAATGTGTGATTTTTCTACTCATTCCATAAACTTTGCTCCACCTTCTATGTAGATTAATGTACATCTGTTCCTTTCTGTTAGTAGATTTGAATTCTAAAAGCCAATAAGTATTTTCGATTGCTCTGAAAACTTGACATCATCGTAAATTAAACTTGAATGGTTCCTTAAAACTCAAATAATTATTTCACATATAATGTCACATTTAGTGCCTCTGAACAATTGTATGATTGGTTATTTCAGAGCTGGTAGGGCCCTGTTGGACCTACTGTACCCTCTAGGGTTGCTTAATAGACCCAGTAATATTTATTCTCTTTTTTTTAGAGTCATATAATAAGGATGTCAATAGGGATATATAAGTGAGGGTCAGGATACACTATAGTTCCCCTGAGAAACTCTTCTGAGGCTAAGAATACCATACATGTATCCAGTCACCTCCTGGGAATGATCCAAGAATATCTGAAACTGTCCTTCCTCACTTAGATGCTTTATAAGTCTGCACAGTTAGAACTGTGACCTCATTATGGCAGAGAAAACTACCACAGGAAACAGAACTATGGCTCCAGTTGTTTAATTATAAGGGAACCCTGCAGCAGAGAGAAACCCTCTACCCACTTCTGGCCTCTGTTCTCAATTCATATGCCATTATGCATAACTATGAACAACAGGATTTTCTTCTACTACATTTCACACACAGAGCCCTGGCCTCCACATTCCTGACAGATAGCTCACAGAATTGATCCACGTCAGTAATGTCAGTGCAGTCCCTTTTATTGAAATCCCTTTTATTCATCATGAGTTATCTACTGCCACATTCTGTGACTTACCCTGGCTGTCATACCATCTCCTCTGTTTTAGGCTTTCTGTAGTTCACAGTTTCCCCATTCTGCATCTGCCTGAAAGCTGTCCATTTTCTCTGCCGCTTGACGTTGGTGTTATTATTATTATTATTTTTTTTTTTTTTGGTACCATGGATCAAACTCAGATCCTTGTGCTAGTGAGACAGGCAGCGGAACCACTTAGCTAAATCCCCGGCCTAGGTGTTATTATATGAATAAACATTATCTTTGGTTAATGTGCTAATAGGAATTTCTGCCAGTGTTTTTCTGAGGACTGAACTTTTCTTTAAAAGATTGGTGCTTGTGTTGAAAGTTTGTTTCTTTTTTTTTGGTGCCATGATCAAACTCAGAACCTTGTGCTTGCAAGGCAGGGCCAGTGCCACTGAGCTAAACCCCCAACCCTGTTGGAAGGTTTTGATAGACCTAAATTTGTAATGTGGTTTGGCCAATGAGCATTCATTCATTTAGATATTCAGTCATTTTTTTGATTGGGTGAAGGGATGCTGGATAAAGCAATTGAGAAACACTTGCTTCCTGCTTCTAGGGAATGATATATATATATAAGAGAGGGCATAATGATAAAAACATTCGTATGCTTAATGTGATAAATGTCATAGAAAAGTAATATTTATGGGACATTACAGAGATAAACTTCTAGTTAATGATATCATAAAAAGCACTAAATGTTTACCAACCTTCCTGCTAGTCTGGTATATGAACGCAAGCAATTCCTCACCAAACATTCACTGAATTACTGTGTTTAGCAGGCACTGTGCCAGACTCTGGAAATAGAAGTCAAATAAGAAGAGTCTGTGCCCTAGTGGAGCTCACACCAATGAAGATAAAAGAAAGGAAATGTTCAGAGTAGCATATTTGGGGAAATTGTGATGCAGATACCTTTTTTGTGGGGAAGAATGAACCTGTGATGTGAATAGCTTGAGGCTAAAAGTAGTGGGACAGGTGTTTTATAAAGTTGATCATCAGGAAGTCAGTTATCTAAACCTTAACCTTTTGAACATATGATCTAACAGATTTTTCCTAGTAGTTTTTCTTCAGGTGGAAAAGTAGAAATTGAAAGCCCACATTAAGATTCATCTGCTGCCAGAGATTTAGCTCAGTGGCGCAGTGCCTGCCCTGAAAGCACAAGGTCCTGTGTTCCATCCCCGCTACCGGGTAGTGAGTGTTCATCTGCTGCCAAGCATGGCACCATGTGTCTGTAGTCCTGCTAGTTGAGACATTTGAGCCCATGAGTTCAAGACCAGCCTGGGGAATATAGTGAGACCCTTTCTCAAACAACAGCAACAGCAAGAAAATAATACATCTGCCTGGAAATCCCTGAGACGTATAAGAAGAGTCTTTGTCTGTCATCATCCCCATAAGGGGGACATTGTGTAAGAAGATTGGCAGGTGGAGCAGCTGCTGTGAGCATCCCTCCTAAGTGCCTCTGTCTTCTATAGAGTAGCATTGCAATACTGGGCCAGCTAGAGGCTGTCACACATTTCCACAAGGAATTCTTCCATGCTTTGCTGTAGAAATTAAAGGCCTGTTAAGTCTTTAATGTCACAAAGCACCATACCCCTTAGCTTTCTTTTTTTTTAATATATCCTGACTGATTTCTTCTCTCCTCAGCCAGGCTCCTTGGCTCTGTTCCCACAGGAGTTAATGCCAGCTTGACAGACGCTCCCAGGCTTCATGCTATCAGGCAGCTTTAGCTTCTTGAGCTGAATGATGGGCTGGCCAGGCATGTGAAGCAGTGATAGGGCTCTGTTTGCCAGGTGCCATTCCCCCCAGGCACATTAAGGGCCTAGTGAGCACCAGAAATGATTCATCTGCCAGGACTGGTCTTGTAAGAACCAGAGGCTCAAATGGACACTTTCCTGAATTCATTTCTGTGTCTGTCTTTCTTTCTTCCTTTCTTTCTTTCTTTCTTTCTTTCTTTCTTTCTTTCTTTCTTTCTTTCTTTCTTTCTTTCTTTCTTTCTTTCTTTCTTTCTCTCTCTCTCTCTCTCTCTCTCTCTCTCTCTCTCTCTCTCTCTCTTTCCTTCCTTCCTTCCTTCCTTCCTTCCTTCCTTCCTTTCTTTCGAGGGGTAGGGATGCAGCACTGGGACTTGAACTCAAGGCCTTTGTACTGAACTAAATCCTTAGCCTTTTATTTTATTTTTATTTGAGACAAGAGTCTCACAAAGTCACTAATTTGCCCAGCCTGGGCTTGAAGTTGCTGTCTTTCTGTCTTAATCCTAGAGTGCTGGGATTACAGGTATGTCACCACCCCTGATGCCTTTCTGTATTTCTTACCCTCTTAACCA